TGTTCAAAACCACGTTTTTTTCCTTCACATGTGAGTGAGTGTGTATGCGGGTGTGTCTGTGTGTATCAGTTATCAACACTAGGGCCGAAGTAGCCTTTACTACAAATGGCTGTCTGGTGGAATTCCGCAGTAACTCCCACCCTCCCCCCGCCACTCCTGGCCCCCAGATGTCAGGCAGTCTAGTTGGCCCACCTTTCATCCTCACCCACAGCAGGGCCATTTCAGCCTTGTGGTGGAGGGAGTCACAGACATTTGTGGGCTCCACCCGGGATCTGAATGAGGGCTGATCTTGCCCGAGGCTGGCTGTGGGGGTGGAGAGAGAGAGCCAAGTCCCCTGGAAATAGGACTGGATTTGGGGAGATTTGTGCCAAACATTCAGCAGCGGCTGAGTAAGGAGAGCTTGCTCTGTCTGGGAGTCTGGCCTCGGCCACCTGGAGAGAATAAGAATGGACACAATACCAGGACGCTTGTGGACCGCTGTAAGCGGAGGACGAGGAGGGGAACAGAGACTTCCCTAGGGGTGTTTGCTGTGTGGCTTTTTCTCAGCTGGACACGGGGATCTGTGTGGTCCTAGGCATCATCCCTTCTATCAGCTCCTCCATCTTTTCCCTCTTCCCATTTCTTTTTTTTTTTTAATGCATGTTTTTACCCCTCCCCTCTTTCCCTTTTTCTTCCTCCGTTTCTCTCATAACTACAGATTTACAACAACAGGATCAGATCAAGGTGGTCAGATAGATGTCCCACCACACAAAGACACTTCTGTCAGAGGCCTTGGAGCTAGTGGTCCTTCAGGGATGCGAGGAGACAGATGAAGGCAGGCTACATTAAACTCATCAGTTAACTCAAATTACACACTTCCTGTCACCGATAGCATTGATCGTCATCTTGGCAGGTTCTTGAACTGAAGGCAAGCCTCTAGCTATGCCTGTGAGGGACCTTCCTTTTTTCCTTCCTTCTTCCCTTCCCACACACTGAAAAAGTGGAACAAGATGGCTTTGAACACACGAAGACCGGCTGCTTCCGCCTCCCTCTGAGTGCTGGAATTAAAGACATTTACCGCCTCCACCATACCTGACTGGGATTCTCCTGATGACGATAATTGGTGTGCAAAACCCGTCATAACTGTGAAGGTGATCCTACTGTAGAAAATGGGGAAAGCGGGCTGAGCACAAGCCCTCATTGGTGGTCATCTGTCACTTGACTGCTTCAAGCTCCTGGAGCCTCGACTTCCTCACCGCCTTGACCTGTGACCCAGAACAAGCCTCTTCTTCCTTAAGCAGCTTTGGTTGGGACATTGTATTACAGAAACAGGAAAAAAAAAAAAACAACTAAGATGTTCTCTTTCGCTGGCCGAGGGGTAAAAAAGATTTCTCCTGCCTCTCAAAGGTTCTATTGACGTGAATCGACAACAGACAGATTATTAGAAAGAAGAGGGGTATAAATTCATGAACAGGACAGGGAAAGAAACCACAGAGCATGTCAGCTCCGAGTCTTCCCAAGGGCCAGATGGTGGAGGCTTACGTAACTTCTGGGAGCTGGAAAGCCGGATTCCAGAAAAGTCATCCCATTTTGCAGATGAAGTCTCTGGGGTAACCTCTGGGTCTTCTTGGGGGAGAACTGACAGATTTGGATCTAGGTAAGAGTTCCAGAGCTTAGACACTTCTTCCTCCTTCTAGTTATTCAGGGAGATTCCTTGGGAGCAGACTGAAGACAACTATCTCCCCCATCACCATAAAAAGCTTCCCTCAGTCACACAAAGGCTTTCCTAAGAAAGCCCCTCCCTGCATGGAGTAAAACTGAGGAGGGACCGGTCACAGAAGTTTGGACTCTGAGGCAAATTCTAACCCTTCCGGCCCATCAGAGTGTCACTCTGAAACATCATTTGGTTTTTCGAGACAGAATTTCTCTGTGTGTAGCCCCGGCTATCTTGGAACTCACTCTGTAGACCAGGCTGGTCTCAAACCCACAGAGATCGCCTGCTTTTGCCTCCTGAGTCTGGGATTAAATGTGTGCACCACCACCAACAGGCCTCGAACTATTTTTTTTTAAAGATGTAGGAACTAAGTGGGGCGGTAGCGAGGCAAGCCTTTAATTCCAGCACTCGGGAGTTGAGGCCAACCTGGTCTGCAGAGCCAGAGCCAGCACAGCCAGGCCTGTTACACAGAGAAATCCTATCTCAAAAATTAAAAAAAAAAAAAAACCCAAAAAACGTATGAACCATGATGTGGGTGCTGGGAGCCAAACCTGGGTCCTATAAAAGAAAAATACATGTTCTTAATTAAAGAGGCATTTCTTCAGCCCCCCCCCCACTTAAAAAAAGGTTTATTTTAGTTTTATGCATGCGAACATATCTGTGTGCGTGACTGAAGCAGCGAGAAGAGGTTATGAGTCATTCAGTGTGGACACTGGGGACGGAGCGTCTGTCATCTCCAGGGTCAGCAAAGGCTTAGCCACAGCACATCTCTCCAGGCCTGGGAAAGTATCTTAGTCAGCTAGCCTGTTGCTTCATCTGCAGAGTGGCCACCGGAGCAGCTGCTTTACAGGGAACTTTCCTCAGGGGGTTAGTGGTGTGATTTGTCTTCACTGTCGACTTGACTTGGAACCACCTAGGCGAAATCCAGATGTGTCTCTGAGGGGCTTTCTCTGAGAAGTGAGGTAAGATGAGTGAGCCCTGAACACGAGTGACACCCACCCCTAGGCTCGGGTCCTGTACTGAAGTGATCTGAGCATCAGATTAATCTCAGCTCGCTTCCGGATACCGTAACCAGCTGTACCTCACACCTGCCGCCACAACTTCCTGCTAAACAGACCATAACCCCGCAATCCTTCTTTGTTTTCCGAGGTAGGGTTTCTCTGTAGCTTTGGAGCCTGTCCCGGAACTTGCTCTGTAGACCAGGATGGCCTTGAATTAAAGGTGTGCATCAACACCACCCGTCCCCTGTGTGTCTTAAATTGCCTTTGTTAGATTTTTTTTTTTAAAAATTTTTAAAAAAATAAATTTATTTATTTATTATGTATACAGTATTCTCAGTACTCTGCCTGCAGGCCAGAAGAGGGCACAGATCTCATTACAGATGGTTGTGAGCCACCATGTGGTTGCTGGGAATTGAACTCAGGACCTTTGGAAGAGCAGGCGGTGCTCTTAACCACTGAGCCATCTCTCTAGCCCCTGTTAGATGTTTTGTATTGAACAGAGTCCTGGATATAGTTAGCAAGGGAAATAGCAGCACACAGTAAGTGTGAAGGAAATCCAGCCATTTAACAAATACTATTGATCATATTAGATTATCCTCTAATCATATAACATTGACATTAACAAATAAGAATATCAGGTTAGCTACCTACTAAATGCAGTAGTGTACTCCAGGCGCTGGGAGAGGGAGAGAGACAGAACTGCACTCGTGGAATTAGCCCTCCACAAGAAGAACCGACAAGCCAACAAATACGTGAAACATATGACATCTTAAAGGGAGGCAACAGTAAGCGCATCGGATGATGGGAAATGCTTTGAAAAAGCCGAGAGGGGTAAAAAAGGAGCAGCCTAGTACTGGGTGCAGGCTGCACAGCCGCAATTCCAGCCTTCAGAAGGCTGAGACAGGGGGATTAGCATAAATCTGAAGCCAGCATGGACTATCGAAAAAGACCCTGTTTAAAAACAAATACCAAATGAACAACAACAAAAAACCCAAACCAAAACTACCACTGTGGAGGTTTGAATAGGAATGGCCCCCATAGACTTATGTCTTTGAATGCATGGCCCATAGGGAGTGGCACTATTAGGAGGTGTGGCTTTGTGGGAGTAGGTTTGGCCTTGTGGGAGGAAGTGTGTCACTGTGGAGGCAGGCTTTGAGGTCCCATATATTCTCAAGCCACGCCCAGTGTGACAGTTCACTTCTTATTGCCTGCTGATCAACACGCAGAACTCTCAGCTTCCTCTCCAACACTATGTCTGCCTGCGTTCCGCCATGCTTCTGGCCATGACAATAATGTTTTTCCTTTATAAAAGTTGCTGTGGTCATGATGTCTGTTTACAGCAATAGAAACCCTAACTAAGACAACCACCCAAAAACCCCAAACCAAAAGTACTGCCTCCCAAATAAAAAGCATAAGTTCCAAAAAGAATTACAGAGAGAAGAGGGGCAGCCACGCTACAGGGACAGTCAGAGATCCTGGAGATGTGATCTTTGCAACAGACAGAAGAGATGAGGAAGCCAAGAATGCCCACATGTGAGGAAGGAGCATCTTGAGTACAGAGGACTGTGCAGGACCTGACAGGGTCATTCAGGAGCTCAACTAGGGTGGGGCAGGAGGCCTGTGAGAGAGCAAGTGTGTGTTGTGTGTGTGTGTGTGTGTGTGTGTGTGTGTGTGTGTGGAGGGGAAGGGAGCCGAGTGGTAATGTGAAGGACCTTGCCCGCCATCAGAAACCTTTGGTGGGAGCAGGAAGCGTGCCAGAATCTGGTTAATGTTTGAACAGGGCTGCTCAGGCTGCTGTGTGGACTAGAGACTATGCAGGTGAAGGAAAAGTGAAAACAGTTTAAGATCAACCAATAACCCAGGTGAAAGACAGTACAGCATGGACCAGGTAGTAGTGACAAGCAATTGCATTCAGATTTTTTAGCTTTTATTTTTTACTTAAAAATATTATTTGTGGGGCTAGGAAGATGGCTCAGTGGGTAAGAGCACAGGCTACACTTCTAGAAGTTCAATTCCTAGCACACACATGGCAGCTCACAACTGTCTGTAACTCCAGTTCCAGGAGACCTAACATCCGCACACAGGCACACACATGGGCAAAACACCAACACACATGAAATAAAAATAAATTTATAAAAATAAAAAGAGAGAGAAAATATTCATTTGTAACCCAGGCACACTGACACATGCCTTTCTTCCTTCCCTTCTCCTTCCTTCCTTCTTTCCTTCCTTCCTTCCTTCTTTCCTTCCTTCCTTCCTTCCTTTGACTTTTCAGGGTTTTTAACAGTCAAACACAGAGGTCTGGTTCATCTCACTGCCAGGGGGGGGGGGTGTTTCAACTTCGCAGCCTTTTCCTTGTCTGTGATGACCAGGGTGTAAAGGTGGCTGCTGCAGTGAACCTTGAACTTCACATTATCCTTGTTCTTCTTGATCTTGACAGATTTAGCATCCTTCCGCGGGGCTGTGAACAGAAAATCCTTGATTTCCTCAGTTTTCCAAGGCATGGTGACTGTGGTCAGCGCTGGAGACTACACCCAAAAACTCAGTGGTGAGAACTTAGGAGATACAGAACCATGTAGCTGAGCCAAGCCCAATTTGCCACTAAGACTCACATTGTTTTGCTGTCGCTGGCGCAATGATGTGACATCTGAGGTGTTAGGTGGACGTTTAAATTAAGGTGCCATGTAGGCAGTTGGGTGACTGAGTTTAGAATCTGGGGAAGATATCCAAGCTGTGAAGACATATTGAGAGTCATGAGCATATGGCCAATAGTTTAATCACAAGGGGGACGAAAACACCAAGGAAATAAGAGAGGACATTTCACGAAACCCAAGGGCAGAGACCTGGGACATGGTAGAACCTGAAAAGAAAGGAACCCGTGTGATAAAAAGGCCAGCCAATAGGTAAAACGCCTGGCTTGCATGAGCTCTCAGGACAGAATGTGTTTCTGCAAGAAAGGGGAGCTCATTGCGTTGGGAACCTGCAAGGGTTTACATAAGATGGCGCGATGACTAAGCTTCACCCTTAGGTTTAGAGCCCCTGTGGAAACTCGCATCTGAGGCGTATTTCCAGAGGGCGTTTCCAGAAAGGCTTTAGCGAGGAGGGAAGAGTCACCCTGACTGTGGGTGGCTTCACCCCACATAGACTGCTGCCCCGACTGAATACAAAGGAGGTAGCCAGTAAGACCTTTCAGTGTGCTTGAGTGCAGACACAGTGTGAACTGAGATTCCGTCATCTTCCCCACCGTCGTGGACTGTACACCTTCAAACCCTGAGCCCAGACACACCCGCAGGCGGCTTTGACAGATATTTTGTAAGAGTACTTGAAATAGGTATAGGTGGGAACCGAGCACTGATCACTGGGCGTGGCCCACGAATGCTTAGGTGCATTGAAAGTTTCCGTGAAGCTGTAAATGAGGAAGCCGCAAATGAAGAAGCCGCTGTGGAGAAGTTACAGAAAGAACGGAGGGAAGGAGTTGGGAATTAGGATGACTGATAACCCCTTTGAAGAATTCTAGAAATATCTGTCTTACAAATGGAAAAGAGAAACAGTTCATAGCAATAGAAGGACGTGGGTTTAAGAGAGCAGGTTTTTGTTTTGTTTTGTTTTGGAGACAAGGTTTCTCTGTGTAGCCTTGGTAGTCCTGGAACTCATTCTTTAGACCAGGCTAGCCTTGAACTCACAGAGCTCCCCCTGCCTCGCCTCCCTAGTGCTGGGATTAAAGGCATGCACCACCACCACCCACCACCCAACTTGGTTAGGGGAGTGTTTAAGGGTGAGAGCGTGCTGTGTATGGACAGAAGTCTAGCAGGCATTTGGAAGCTGCTTTTGCTAAACTAAACCAACCAACCAAACAAAACATTGAGTCCCTCACTTGGGACTAAGCACAGACAAAGGCTTGGCACCTGTTCCACGTCTGGCTCCCTTGCTTTGGCTTGCCCACTTCCATTGGTCAGTGTATCAATCACTCAAGGAATGTGTATCTAAGCCCGTCCCACCCCTTTCAAGGCTGCACAGACTTGAAGAAATCCACCTTCTTAAACCTAAAATTATCTTCAGTTCCAGGAGGAACAGAACTTGGCAGGAGGGACCATTCCCAGTTGAGGTCAGTTATCCATGGAGGGGAGGCTGTATTCTGGAACTGGGGGTGACCATAGTGTAGGAACTCCTCACGTGACTCACGGTGAGGATAAGAACTTCCTTGGATCACTTTGCCAAACCAAAACTGAGACATCGATGGACAGGACCACACCTTTGCCAGGACTGCTTAATTATGGGACTTCTTGCCGCTTTCCCAACTCTTCCTCTGTTGCAGCCGAAATCTCACGGCAACACTCCCCAAAGACAGATTTGGGGAGACAGGATTCCTTTATTTGATCTTTTCCCCAACGTAGCCACATTGACTAAATCTCTCTGCTTTTCAGTGTTACTTATCTAATTGGCTTGACGGGACAGGCAGACAGGCTTAACTCATCAGAGCTGCAGGAGCCCTGGCCTTTACCCTAAAAACTATGCTAACAGAAGGACCTAACAGGGAGGAGAATATCAGTAACTCAGGTGACAGGAAGGAGATCAAATGGATGAGGTCCTTGAGCAGATGATTGGCCTGGGGGCCCCCTGGTGTTTGAGAGCAAACGCTGGCGTGAGCTGGAAGCAAGAGAGTATCTCATAGATTTCTGGAGGAAAGGCAACATAGTCAATAGTATATTTAATTCCTATGTAGCTGGAGGTACAAGAATGTGGATATCTTGGTAGAGCTGAGGCTGGAGGATGATATTTTAGAGGGTTGAGGGGAATGGAGAGAGGAACTTCTTATATGGAAATGTGTAATTTTTCTTTCCCTCTCTTTCTTTCTTTCTCTCTCTTTCTTTCTTTCTTTCTTTCTTTCTTTCTTTCTTTCTTTCTTTCTTTCTTTCTTTCTTTCTTTCCGAGACATTGTTTCTCTGTGTATCCCTGACTGTCCTGAAAGTGGCTTTGTAGACCAGGCTGGCCTCGAATTCACAGAGATCCATCTGGCTCTGCTTCCCAAGTCCTGGGGTTAAAGGCGTTGACCACCACCTTTATTTATTTATTTGTTGCTATTACATTCCTCCCCGTAGAGGGCAAAGGTTGCCAGCAAAGGCAAGTAACTTCCCCCATGCACCAGTTTTTACTCTCCCCAGAAGCGCTACAAAATGACATTAAACTCAATAAGCACAAAAGACATAACCCACAGGAAAGAGAACAGGGAAAACACAATAGCAACACAATTTGGGGAACTAGAGAAAGCAGAAGGCTGGTAACTGACTTAAGTTCAATCAATACTGTCTTTGTTACTTTTCGATTGTTGGGAGAAATACATCAAGGCCAAGGAAACTTATAAAAGTAAGCATTTAATTTGGGGCTCCCAGTCCCAGAGGGTGAGAGTCCATGACCACCGTGGCAGGGAGCATGGCAGCAGGCCTGGTACCGGAGCAGTAGCAGAGTGGTTGCCTCTTATTCACAAGCATGAGGCAGATGGAGCTAACTGGGATCAGCATGGGCTTTCTGAAACCTCAAAGCTACCCCCCAGGGACACACCCACTTCAACAAAGCCACGCCTCCTAATCCTTCTCAAACAGTTCCACCAAATGGGGACCAAGCGTTCAAAGACATGGACCTACAGGACCATTCCCATTCAAACCACCACAGGCCTAAACATGCTTAGATGTGTAACAGTCATGTGTTTAGGCTGATTTTTTTTCCCTAGCCAAAGCTGTTAATTTGAGTAATATGAGTCAAGCAAAAGAATTCCAGTTCCTAGGCCAGCAACTGTTTTAGGTATGAATGCATTGCAATTCTGACCAACAATATACGAGTCTTCTGATTGTCTCTTGGTAAAGATAAAAAGATAGTTCTAGAAATGCTGGTTTTTTGCTTTGTTTTGTTTGTTTGTTTGTTTGTTTTTGTTTCTTGCTGTTGTGTACAAACAGAAACAGGACTTGAAGCAACTACGGTGACCAAGGATGATCAACAGCCTGGCAGTCTTGTTGGTTTGTTTGCTTGTTTTCGAGACAGGGTTTCTCTGTGTAGCTTTAGAACCTGTTCTGCAACTTGCTCTGTAGACCAGGCTGGCCTCGAACTCACATAGATACACCTGCCTCTGCCTTCTGAGTGCTGGGATTACAGGTGTGCACCACCACCGCTGGGCTTCAGCCTGGCAGTCTTTAGTGATGCCCCTGAACATCAGATGCAACCCTGGAGCCTCCCTCCAGATCTCTTAGTATGCGAGAAAAAGCTACATCTTTTTCTCACCAACTGTGACCTTTTGTATTGACTCATGTGTGATTCTAATTGAAAGAATAGTGATACAGAACATCGGCCAAACAAATACAGAATCCGGCTTGCATCATTGAGGATACAAATTGAGTTTTGTGTAGACAAAATAAGAGCAACATGCCCCACTCAGTCTAGACACAGATGAGCAAACCTCCCCTACCCTGGTTGTTTCATAACAAAGTCTTTGGCAATGAGTTGGGGTGACAAAGTGCAGACATGGCCATTCTAGAAAGCAGAGAATGTTAGGTACCTTGAAAGAGATATGAGATGGTGAAGCTGTGGGTTAGTGTTCATCAAAGGAGCAGGGTACCCCGAAAAACCAGGATGGGGCAATAACAAATATAAGGCACATTTCTGGGTGCTCTTTAAAATCAAGTGGTCAGCCCTGTTTGACAACCTAGCTACAAAGGAGCCGTGGAGATGATGGCACAGAGGTGTTGTGGCTCAGGATCGGAGAAGCCTTAAATTACACCGAGAAATCAAAGCTTGGTTTAGGTTAGAAACAGCGGCTGTGAGAGATTTTTGTTGTTTTGTTTTTGAGGCAAGATCTCACTATGTAGCTTTGGCTGGACTGGAAATCACTATGAAGACCAGGCTGGTCTTGAACTCACAAAGATCCTCCTGCCTTTGACCTACTGAGTTGATGTTTTTTGATTTTGTTTTTTTATTTTGGTTTTGGTTTTTGGTGACAGGATTTCTCTGTGTAACAGTCCCGGCTGTTCTGGATCTCACTCTGTAGACCAGGCTGGCCTCAAACTCACAGAGATCTGCTTGACTTTGCCTCCTGAGTGCTGGGGTTAAAGGTGTATGCCATCACGCTTGACTTTCTCTCTCTCTCTTTCTTTCCTTCTTTCCTTCCTTCCCTCTTTCTCTTTCTTTCTTTCTTTCTTTCTTTCTTTCTTTCTTTCTTTCTTTCTTTCTTTCTTTCTCTCTTTTTAATAGAGAAGATTTATAACCTGAGCTGGGCATGGGAGACTCACACCAAGCAGGGGAAGAGAAGGCACTTCTTTCTTATCTGATAATAACTGTTTCAGACATTAACCACATCCTCAGAGTACACAGATGTGGGAGATAGACATGCCTAAAACCTCAATGAGCAGAAACACGACAGAATCACATTTTAGACCCAAGCAACGGGAGGAAGCAACATGGGTGGAGAACTCACCCTCCACTCAGACAAACCCCTCTCGTCCTTTTCTCTGTATCT